CAAAAGAATGAAAAATATCTCTGTGAAAAGAAATGAGTGAAAAATCATAATTAAAGATCTCTCAGGACAAATTTTAAGTAAAGAAAAGCAGACCATAGAAACTGAAGTTTGTGGTGAAACTTGGGTAGAAAGATTTGTAAGTGATTTTATATCCTATGCTTTTCATTCTTGAGCTATTAATTTTCAGCAATCTCTAGCTTGGTTGGAATATCATTTCTAGGATTTTCTTTTTACAGGTATGTGGGCAATACATTCTGTAAAACTTTGATTAAGGTTCACACATCTGTGAATGTAGTTCTGTTGTCCTCATACATGAAAGACAATTTGGCTGTGTATAAATATTTGGGATTACAATTTCCTCCTCAAATCTGTAGATGTTTCATTTTCTCATTTTCTTCTGACATACACTGTAGAGGAGAAATCTGAGGACTGTTTCATTTTTAGTACATTGTAGGTCTCTTGTTTTTTAAATTTCTGGGCTTTCTTTTTACTTTTATGACTAAAATATGTGTTACACTTAGTCCAGGTGTGAATCTCTTGTTTCAGTGATTTTGCCTAGAATGTGGTGACCCCTTTTGACCAGCACAGTCAGGTCATTTTTCTTTTTCCTCTAAAGTAAGTTTTTAAGTTACATCTTTAGATGTTCCTTTTCTAACATTTCATGTTTTCTCCTAAGGAACACATGATTCTATGGTTAAATCTTTATTTGTTTCATGTATATCTCACCTCCTTCCTCACATTTTTTGATCTCCACATCAGGAATTCAATTTTGAGAGTGTCATCAATCTTGCTCTTTACCACATTCTAATGTGGATGTAATTTTGCTATTATACCTTAAGATTTCTTGCAAGGTATGTGTGTACTACTCACTGTAAAATAATAATAATCTAATAATTAGGAATAGCAAGAACAATAGGAAGAGGAAGGTCGTAGAATACAAATAGATGTCATTTATAAGAAATTACTTAAGATGAGGTGAGCGAGTAATAAACCCTTTAAATATTATTTCATTTAGAACTCAACATGAACCCCTTGAGAAGATATGAAAGCCACAGTTCTACAGAAAAGGGCACTGGGACAACATAAATTTATTTGTTTAAGATCATATGACTAGCAGATGGAAGAGCTGGATTAAAAACAGATCTGATGACTCTAGAGCTGGGCCATTTCTTGCCCTAAGGAGTCTTCTGGGGTCACTTTTAGCAAATCCTTCCTATGTAATCGTCTAGCAATTCTCTCCTCATGTAAACCTTCCTGAGTGCCTGACACAGTGTTGGCATAATGTGCATCAAACAGATGAGCAAAGAATCATTATGTCACTCAAAGCACATTCTGGCACAGGGTAGGTCAGGCAAGAAACCAATCTAGTAGGCATGGGTAGATACTACCTTGGGTTGTACATAATGACTCTAGGATATTGAAAGAGGAATCCAAATGAAAAAAAAATACTGTCTGTGTGATGCAACAGACAGGAAACACTTACTGGTGGAGTCATACAGGAGCATATTTACATCTTCCAAGGTCTGGTTAAAGTCCCACCTTCTCAGTGAAGCCTTTCCTGCTAGACCAAATCATCATTTTCTTCTCTGCTTTCAATTATATTTACTTTCTATTAATGTCTCTTTTTCACATCCTGTCATAACATAATCTTGTTAAAATTTTTCAAGTGTTTATAAATTGTCTGCTGAGTAAGCCAAGCTTCTTGAGGGACAGGCATTCTGTCTCATCTTTCTTTTTATCATCCTGCTATTGCTTGGTACTTGGCTTATGCAAAGTCACCCAAAAGAAGTTTGAGTTGGACTGAAGTGATATAAGAGTAGTAAGTGATCATAATAGCTTTGTAAGGATGATCACTGTAGGGTTCACAAGCTACACTTTTTCCTTTTGTGAATACGGCTGAAGAACCAAAGTTGGAACTTTCATCAATCAAGGTCCAGGGAGGAAACAGAAGGCTCTCTCAAAGAGATGATTAGAGAGATTTTAATGAAGAGAGTATTTTCAGAAGTGTGGCAGCGTTAAGGACCAACAAAGAATGGTAAAGTACTCCAAGGGCAGCAACCTTGGAACGCCATTATCACCTCAAAGCCTGAAGGGGCCAAAGCATGGTGGTGATACTGAGTCTGATGAGAGCTAAGTCGTGGGAAATGGACCAACTACAAGTAAAGGAACATATTCGCAACCAAAACACATTCTAGCTCTTTCCCTATGGCTCTCTCTTTGGCTTTCTATTTCCTTCCCCTCCTCCCTTCCCCTTCTCTTCTGCTCTCTGATACCTACCTGGTCCCTCCCAATGGATGAACCCAAGAGAAATTAAAAAGGTGAGGGAGTTAAGATGATGCAGTCGGTAGAAGTCAGCCTACTGGAGGCTAGATCACCATGGAAAAGAGCAGAGAATACACCTAAAGGACAAATGGAGGATAAACAGCACAAGACTCCTTCTTGTTTTCTGTAGATACTACTATTTATAAAACTTGTTGCTGTATATGACTATTTTTACTAAATAATAAAATGATGGTCACCAGATGCAAAATTATTATCTATCACCAAATAATAATGTATACAATTCATTCATCATTTGTTTCATGTGTATTTTTTAAATTTTCCTCAAAATCATCTTATATTGTTCCACTGATTTTATATTCTTATTAGAGTTGTTATATTTTAAATTATTCATCTAACGATAGTGAAAATGGAACTTACTCTTGTTTTAATGTATGATTTTCAATGTTAACCTTTACTTCCTATTGAAGTCTATAATTCTTCACTTGGTATGTTCTTCAGGATTATTTTGACCTTCACTTTTTCAAACTACATATTTACTTTATTTAAAGCATATAAGAGGATACAAGTATTTAAAAAATATTCTTTATGAGAAATGCAGAAGTGTATTAGTACATTCCTGCTTATGGGCAAACTTATTAACACTGTTTAGTCCTCAGAAACTAGCAAGAAACCACAATGGCCTGAGAGGCTGAAGACACCAATTCCCCTTCTATTAACACAAAAATAAACTCCTAACATACTCTGCAGGACCAAGGGTCCTTGACTCACCTTTTTAGCACCCCATGTTCACCTGCTAAATGAGGCACAAATTTTGACACTCCAGATTCAGTGTAGATTTAACTTGTCCCCCTAAAGTCACATTTCCTATTTTAATGGATATGTTAGAAGAATTCAACCATTTCTACGCTGATATAATGACTGACGATTGGCTACCACAACCCTAAATCTGCCTTTCACATTACCTGAGTAGCTGGTATAATGCTATTTATTGTGATGGAGAAGACCTGGAAGATCTACAGAGAAGAAGAAAATTTAAGGGTTTAGTTCTGACTTGTTGAAACAAAGGGGCCTGTTCAACTTCCTAGGGAGTAACTGGCTTTGGCATTCACAGAAGAGGCCTGGACTGGAGATATGAAAAGGGAAGCTGTCATCATAGAAAGTGCTTAAAGCCATGAGCCTGAATAATATCACCAGGGAGGAAGCAGAGTTAGAGACCTAGTATTTTAACAGTTTTTCATGGATTACATTAGATAAAGGGAGCTTTCCAGATATTAAAATGTATTTTTTAAACTGTAATGATTAAAGCAACGTGATATTAAATTACAATAGAGATCAATAATAAAAAGTCCAGAGACTCAAGCATATATGGGAGTTAATACATGACAAATGTAACATTTCCATATGTAGAACAGGCACAGATTATTCAACAGAACATAATCAGCATTGGATTTCTTCTCTATTTTTCTTTGGATATTACTATTTTTAAAAATGTGTTGCTATTTTGATGATTTCAACAAACAAAAATGAATAGCTAAAAACCTGGAAAAATGTTAGATCCTGTCATTAATCTATATGGAATTTATTTTGTTGTAACTTACAAACAAATACAAGTAAAAAAGTTGTTTTTGTAATTCTGGGGTAAGGAAGGTATACCTAAGCATGGCATATAAGATAGAAACATATTTAAAAGTTTACAAAGAATGAATAATGCAATAAAGCAATAAAAAAAATGACACACTAGAAAAAATGTTTTCAACGAAACTGACAAAGAATTATTTTCTCAATATAGTATATGAAGATTTTTTTTTCTTATTAGTCATCTACTTTATACACATCAGTGTATACGTGTCAATCCGAATCTCCCAATTCATGAAGATGTTTTATAAGTCACTATTAAACAACTAAATACATCCATAGAAACATAAAGGTTATGTCAAACAACAACAACAAAAAATCATGAAAAATATGAATGGTAAATAACTTGTAAAACAATGTTTGGGATATTTAATCATAAAAACAAACTAAAATGATAGTGAAATACTATTTTTCATATTATTGGATAGGCAAAGATACTACTCAAAATATATATCAAAAGTCCTAATACCGGCTAGGGCAGATACTGTTTTCCAAAGAGAGCAGTAGCAATATATAATCCATGTCACGTTTTTCTTATAAATGCAACATCAACTCTCTTCCATTGAGCAGTGGGGTCTATGTCCCCTCCCCTTGAACCTCAGTGACCTTTTCTTTATTTTAAAATTAATTAATTTATTTTTGGCTGCATTGGGTCTTCGTTGCTGCGCAAGGGCTTTCTCTAGTTGTGGCGAGCAAGGGCTACTTTTCATTGTGGTGCACGGGCTTCTCATTGTGGTGGCTTCTCTTGCTGCAGAGCACCAGCTCTAGGCACATGGGCTTCAGTAGTTGCAGCATGCAGGCTCAGTAGCTGTGGCTTGCAGGCTCTAGAGCGCAGGCTCAGTAGTTGTGGCACACAGGCTTAGTTGCTCCACAGCATGTGGGATCTTCCCGGACCAGGGATCGACCCCACATCCCCTGCATTGGCAGGCAGATTCTTAACCACTGCACCACCAGGGAAGTCCCAATCTCAGTGACCTTTGTAACTGCTTCAACTAACAGAATGTGGTGAAGTGATACTGTGTGACTTCCAAGGCATAAAATACATTATGGTTTTACCTAGTGTTCTCTGTCTCTTTCTCTAGATGTTTCCTCCTGAAACCCAGCCACCACCATGTGAAGAAGGTAGGCACTCAGCCAGTGCTTAACATCAACCACCAGACACATAGAAATATGAGTGAATGACCAAGTCTTCATATGACCGTAGCCCCTACACTTCTAGTCTTCCAGCTGAGATCCAGATATCGCAAAGTACAGCCAACCCAACCCTAGTGTGTCTGAATTTCTCACCAATGGAAACCATAGGTAATAATAAATGATTATTGTTATTCAAGCCACTAAGTTTGGGGGGTGAGTTTATAAATGCAATAAAGGTAAGTAATACACTGGCTTTCAGCACCATATGTCAAGTCTGAATACAGGGCATAACTGTTGACTAATTTATCTTGAGGAAGCACTCAGACAAGTGCACAAGTATTTACATACAGCAAAGTTGATTATAGCCTCCAATTTTTCACTCCTATAAGCAAGATAATGTCAAACAATTTGGAATTGCTTAAATAAATTGTAATATATCCATAAAATGGAATGCTATTCAACCATTCAAAATATGTGGTAAATCTGTATTTGACATAGGAGTTCTTCAATTGATATTATTAGGAAAAAATCAGATCTCAAAATATTGTACGTATAGAAACTCATTCTTTGGAGAACTTTTTCTCTTTATTTAGGTACAGAAAGTCTTTAAAGATATGCATCAAAATTATAATGGCAGGGCTTCCCTGGTGGCGCAGTGGTTGAGAGTCCGCCTGCAGATGCAGGGGACACGGGTTTGTGCCCCGGTCCGGGAAGATCCCACATGCCGCGGAGCAGCTGGGCCCGTGAGCCATGGCCGCTGAGCCTGTGCGTCCGGAGCCTATGCTCTGCAACGGGAGAGGCCACAGCGGTGAGAGGCCCGCGTACAGCAAAAAGAAAAAAAAAAATTATAATGGCAGATATCCTTTATATCAAGTAAAACAAGCTATTTCTATTTTAGAAATTATAAAGAGAAAACCTCAAAGCATTTAAGACATTTTTCTCAATTAATGCTCACAGGTGATGTGGGATAGGCGTTACTAGTGCTTTTTTTTAAAGACACGAGCTGCACATGTCATATTTTGAAAACCTGTAAAATGCTGTCCTTGTCCTTCCACTCCTCCTCCATCTCCTTTCCTATTCCTGATCAAACCGCCAAGTGCGTCTCTTGCTCTTAACGTCTAGCAAGATGGGAAAAATAATTTACTTGAGTGAATGTGCACAGATACTACCCTGCAAATAAATGTCATTGTTTTATGTTATTGTTTACACATTGGAAAGATCCTGGATAATATTATTATGCCTATTTCTATAAATGGGGAAAATGTCTCAGAAACTCTAACTGGCTTGTCCGTTATCAGTCAGAAATGATTTGAAAAGAAACTAGATATGCCAGCTCCAAATTTATGACCTTTGCACTGTACTAGGAAGCACTGCAAAGTGTTTCACATTTCTACTCTACTAATACTAGGTATCATGCAAAGAGAACCACACAGTCATATTGCCCTAGACATTATAGTCCATGTAAATTAATACTCATTTACTTTAAGCAGACCTATGAAGGTAAAAAATAAAATTACATGTTGAATTTCACAAACAGATTATTATTGAAATGATAGAGTAAAAAAAAAAGAAGCTAAAAGTTAAAGTGTTAGTTTTAAATCTGTTTTAATTAGGTACCAAGTGAATTCATTTACTTCAAAGACTATACCTATACCGTTTATTGAATACATTCTACCTATTTTCCACAGTCTAAAAAATTTACCAGATGGAGATTATTCCAAACCTTAATAATGCAGGACTGGTCCAAGGCATAATTGTGAATTCAGTAAAATTTATCTTCATAACTCATTCATATTTCCTTTATCCTTCAGATTTCATTATCTAGAAATAAGGACATGTGTCTGCTTTTCCCATGGGAAGCTCTGCCGTAAAACTACTGTTAAAGTATATTGTCTGGCAATTCTATATCACTGGCCCAGAAGTAAATAAAATTTTTTGACAATTACAGTTTTAAATTAGTTATCCTGCCTTATAATGTTTGATTTTTAATCACATTGTTTCAGGATGCAGCATGGAAATAAGCCAGTGAGACTTTTATAAATATCCTGGTAATATTTTGCAAAGTATTTTCTACCTTTAACACAACTTACATAGAAGTGTGCCATTGATCAGGGAAATGTCAAAGAAATTATCAGCTATAGCTCACATTCTATATTGAGGAGGAAATCAAAGCTCAGAATACCATTACCCAAGGGTCAAAAGCTAAATAAAGAGTATTAGAGCCAGAATTAGAAATCCAGTGTCCTAGAGAGTAGTCTACTTCCTTCTCTCCATGGCTCCATTTCTACTGTATGGCAACACCACATCTGCCTAGTTGTATCAAAGAAAACTAGTGACTACTTTAGTCTTCCGGGATAGGTTGTCTGTTGTCTGTGGGATATTCATAACACTGTGGTTGTTGCTGGATTCTGTCAAATTAACAAGACGGTTCTCAATGTGTGCTAAGGATGTGCCTCATGCTATAGGCTGCATCCAAAGCCATTGTTTAATTGAGTGGTCATGGCAACCTTCCTAAATCATGGCAACCTTCCTAAATCATGGCAAATTATTAAGCAGCATGTGGTACAAGTGGGACCAGGAAGGCTCAGGTGTAATAAATGACTGTCCTTTAGAGAGTCATTTCTTCATAATAGCGAAGTAATCCATTAGGGAAATAAAAGAAACTTTGTAGCAATGAAGCATATTGAAAAATCTTTTATTCATAAAATCCTTTGCTTCTTGTCTGAATTAAAGCAGGAACCAAAGATTCATTTCCCTGAAACTTATCAAAACCATGCAAATTCACTTAAAATAGAATTATTCTTTGTCTTATTATTTATATTGTGGCATAAAAATAGCAACTACTTTCCACAAAGAATTTTAACTTTCCATCTGAAGTGTATTTATTCAATTCAGATTTTTATGCTTAAATACAAAAAAAACCAAGCAAAACTAAAAAACTCAAAGGAAAACTTAAAAAGTATGATATTATTAGTGTTTAGAGAAGTGTGATATAAAGCAAAATGTTGAAAACCCAGGTAATTCATAAAACAGAAGAATTTAAGCAATAAATGTATTATCAGGAATAAGTCTATAGTTACTGCACCAAAGGTAATAAGCCAAGGACAAGAATATCAAGAATGTAAGTCTACCCTGCCCTATCATTTTTCTTAAAACCCACATACATCTTGTCTGTCATCTATCATCAGTTTGCATATACCATTTTTAAGCATGTTTTTTTCTTTTTTGCTACATATTAATTTTTTTAAACTTTTGTGGGTAATTATAAATGGATATACCAAAATTCAAGCTGCATTTTTATTCTTCTATTATTTTAGCATTTTTAAATATTAGTGAATAAGCTTCATACAAAAGCATTTCTGTCAACATTTGTTGGGTAAACAGTGGTTTGAGGATACAGCACAATTTAATGGGAATCTCAAAATGAATAATAATTTAAATCTCTAAAAGAAAAAGAAAGAAAAAAGTTTATATATTACATGCCCACATTAAAAAAAAAAAAGTCTTAACATCTGGGAGTCACGATTAGGCATTCAATTAAGGCAAATGAATGTCAAGAATTTCACATGGATTCCATTAATCAGATTTGCTATTACATCATTTGGAGTCCTTTATTTCTCCACTTCATAAATAATATCTCTTCAAGGACCTGCCTGTGGGTGAAAATAGGACATAGGATTTATATTACTCTGAAGAAACAGATGCAGAAGGGGTATATGCCTGCAAGGCTCTCTGCTCATCACCCATACTTAATGCATTGGGCTACGAGAAAGTAGGTTGATTTGAAATGTAAAAGGCTCATGTTTCTTCTTTAAATATGGACTTTTTCTTTAAAAAAATCTTTTGGAGTTAAAAAAAAATTATCGGCTTCCCTGGTGGCACAGTGGTTAAGAATCCGTCTGCCAATGCAGGGGACACGGGTTCGAGCCCTGGTCCAGGAAGATCCCACATGCTGCAGAGCAACTAAGCCCGTGAGCCACAACTACTGAGCCTGCGCTCTAGAGCCCATGCTCTGCAATAAGAGAAGCCACCGCAATGAGAAGCCCACGCACCGCAACGAAGAGTAGCCCCGGCTCACCGCAACTAGAGAAAGCCTGCACACAGCCACGAAGACCCGATGCAGCCAAAAATAAATAAATAAAATTAATAAATTTATTTTAAAAAATTTGATTATGACACAAGTCTTGGAAAGATTTCTGAAAACCAGACAACTTAGATTAGTAACTTAATGTAAAACTGTGAAATATAAAAGGAAATAACATACTTCTTCTACAAGTGTAGAATAAGTGCGTGTACTTAACTCACTAATAAGGAAACCAGGAAGATGATAACACTGGTTCAAAGAGTATTTGAGGACATGAGTATCTATAGGAAATGAGGCAAGAAAACCAGAATAAGATTGCTGAGTCAGCTACAAAACAACGTAATATTCTATAGTCAGTAAAACCATAACATTTGTGGTTAACTCTTCTACAAGGAAGAATTCATTTGTATCTCTACCAAATAAAAATCTATAATTAACATGAAACACAGAGTCTGGGCCTTAATCAGCAGTTAATAGTCACATAAACAAAGCTCCATTCCCCTAGATGAACAGTGCTCCAGTATAACATTGAAAGAAGTTCTATTTTGTCTTATTCCTAAATTTTGGATAATTTTTCTTAACACAGTATTTAGAATGATGGTATTATGTCTGACAGATCATGTTTATCAAAGGAAATAGACCTACAATTCACTGGTTGAGTTATGAATAGTAACCACTGAGCCATTAATTTGTGTTTTAAGAAAAGAAAGCTATAAAACCACTCTAGGGCAAATCAACCAAAGACATCCTACTTTCCAGTTTGAAGTAAAACTATGTTTAAAGGTTCTGAATCATGAAAACTCTTAAATTATGTTCAGAAAACAGTGAGAGATTCAATGTGACTAGAGTTTAGAAAGTGCTTGTCTGATTCTAGGAAGTTGGGCTAGAACTGCAAAGGCCTTGCAGGTCAGAATAAGGAACGTAGACTCTTTTCTGAAGGTAATAGGGAGCCTTTGGGTGTTTGCAAAGCAGGAGTAATATCATCAGACTAGTTTTAAGGAAGGTTCTGATAATTTCTTCTCACATACAACATATTTTATTGCCCTTTTAAAATTTATTTTCTTTCTAGCTTATCTGCAGTGTC